GGCGGCCAAAACCCTGGAGCCGGCCCTGCCTATGGGGCAGCGTGGGGAAAGGTGGCATATACTTGCCGTTGTGTACCTCTCTTTCCTTGCCTACTGTGCCACTTTAGTGAGCGTGCCTACGTTTGCTTTGTTCGTAGGGAGAAATGGGCCCTTCCGGCTTGCCAGGCCCACGGGGCCCGAAGGTATGTCTCAACACTAGCCTTGTGATGACAGCAGTTGCTACGGGGACCTTTGTGAAATGAGTTCAAGGGTGGAGCCCAGCTCCCAGGGGCTGTCTCTGCCTGGCACCAGATAGCTCAGCAGGCACTAATTGGCAACCAAGGCCTGGGTGGAGGGAGGTTTAATTGGCCTGGAGGCTAAAGAACCCTTCTCCATCTTTGCACCTCCAGCCCATGCGGCAGACACTCCCGCTCATTTCTTGAAAGAGGTGAACAAGGAATGCAGCGCATCTGATGAAGTGTATTGCAAGGTGGCACTTACACTCAAGTTAATTCAAACCTAACTGTAGGGTGCTTTCTCCCCACCCTGTTTTCTGTAGGGACCACAAGGCTTGCAAGGGAGACGTGGACCTCCAGGGCCTAGAGGATCACAGGTAAATTGCTCCTGGATGCGTAATCATCTTCTCAGTACAGAACACATGACATTTCCAAGGCCACAGGTGTCCCATGCAGCACCCAGGAGAAGTGGGGCCTTGTCTGAGTCCAGGGCCGGCTTTAGGCTGATTCCCCCGATTCCCCGGAATCGGGTCCCACGGCTAAGAGGGCCCCGTGCCTTAGGCTCACCCGGCGGCGGTCTGCTCTGGCGGCATTTCGACGGTGGGGGGGTGGGGTCCGCTCCGGGGTCTTCGGCGGCATTTTGGCGTCGGGGGGTCCTTCAGTGACGCGGAAGACACGGAGCGGACCCCCCGCCGCCGCAGACCCAGACCACCACCAGGTATTCGAATCGGGCCCCGCAGGTCCTAAAGCCAGCCGTGTCTGAGTCCTTGCTAAGCAAATGGGCTACTGGAATTATCCATTGCATCTCGCAAACGAACTGAAAGGCTTCACTCATCCAGGCCATGTTTACCACTGCCTGAGGGAATGCACAGGGTGCCCAGCGGTGGGAAGCTGCGTTCTCTATTGGTAGGGCACTTAACTGGGAGCCAGGAGACTCATGTTCTGTTTCCAGCACTGCCGTTTACCTACTGTTGGACCTGGGCAAACCATTCCCCCGCTCTCTGCCTCTGCGTTCCCTTCCACCTTTTGTCTGCTTACACTGTAAGCTGTTCGGGGCAGGGGCTATCTCTCGCTGTGTGTTGGAACTGGGCTAGCACAACGGGATCCCAGTCTTGTTGGATAGAGTCTCTGGGTTCTGCAATCATATAACCGAGAGGGTTGTACACTTCATTGCTTACGTAAGGCAGCTGTATACCCTGCCAGGCCCCTCACCCCAGCTCTGGCCAGTTCCCCCCACCCAACCATGCACTCGGCCCCACTGTGGCCACGTCTGGCTGGGAAGGCCTGACGGAGGGGGAAATGGGGGTTGGCTGAGGTGTGTGTGCGAGGGCAAGGGACCAGCTGGGGTGGAGCTGGCCAAAGTGCATTGGGGGGCCCACTAAACCACACACTAAACCCCTCATTGCCTTACCCTGTATCAAGTTACTCTGCTTGCCGTCACAGGCCTCTGTGAGGTCACTGCCTTACCCCTGTACCCTGAGTGGCCAAACGGTGGTTTTACCGGGAAATCAGGCTTTCCTGGTTCTTCAGTTTTCATAGAATCATAGACTATCAGGGTTGGAAGGGACCTCAGGAGGTCATCTAGTCCAACCCCCTGCTCAAAGCAGGACCAATCCCCAGACAGATTTTTGCCCCAGATCCCTAAATGGCCCCGTCAACGATTGAACTCACAACCCTGGGTTTAACAGGCCAATGCTCAAACCACTGAGCTATCCCTCCCCCCCTGACTCCACAGGGTTCTGCCCACAGATGCCTAGAACAGTCCTCAAAATGTTGGAATGGATCGAATGTGGTGTTAAAATGTTATCGCCTGACAGACACATGCCAGCGAGATTGTGTAGGGCCTAGCTTTGCTCAGCCAGCATCAGCAACAGGCTACAACTGGCTAACAGTCGAAAACTGGTCACCTTCCGTTAAGTATCACTCGTAATACTTGTGCTTATATATCTCTTTTTGTCTGAGGATCTTAAAGTATTTTAGAGGTGGATAATCCATATTATCCCTGCTTTACAGATGGGGAAACTGAGGCACTGAGAGGTGAAGGGACTTGACCTAGGTCACACAATGAACCAACAATGGAGCTGGGATGAGAATCCAGGTCTCCTGACTCCTTTCCTCTAAGCAGCACACTGTGCTGCCGACCAAGTGAGCATTGTTCTCCTAAGAATGGGGCTTGTGTCTCGTAGTATTGGCCGAGCCAAGCTAGGCCCGACACAATCTCGCTGGCCTGTGTCTGTCAGGCGATAACATTTGAACACCACAGTCGATCCAGTCCAACGTTTTGAGGACTGTTCTAAGGATCCGTGGGCAAAACCCTGTTGATTTTGGTGAAAATTGGAAAGCCTGATATCCGGTAAAACTGCCATTTGGTCACTCGGGGTACAGGGTGAGGCAGTGACCTCACAGAGGCCTGTGACCGGGAAGCAGAGTTACTATGGATACAGGGGTGAGGAAGTGATCCCAGGGTGAGGGCTAGGTGAGGATTAGTGGGCCCTTCACTTGACTCTGGTCAACCCTCCCTTGCCCCCACAGCTGGAGCCAGAGCCCCCATTCCAACCAGCTCCAGCCCCACCACCAGCCAGGTGGGGCCAGAGTGGGGGCAAGGGCATGTCTGGGGGCGCATCTTAGTATACAACCCTCTAGTAAGTTATGCTGCGAGATCCTAAATCTTTTCCTCCCCTCCTGCTGAGGACTAGAGCCTGATTCTCTGTGCTGCAGGTGAGATCAAAGACCGGAAGGGAGGTTACGCTGCAGGAAGAGCAGCGGTTTTTAGAAGAGGCTGTTTTCCTCATTTAGCATAGCCCTGGCAGGGACACCTACAGGTATTGGTAGGCCAGCCCAGAGGAGTTAGTGGAAGGAGAAAAGAGAGATGAAGATACAGGAAAAGACGAATGTAAGCAAGCCGTATCCCAGGTGGAGTAGTACATATGGAAAAACATTGTCGTTGGTATGAAAATATGCATCCAGATCCATCCTGTTTCCGTAATGGGCTGTAGGAAAGCTTCTCCATCCCCATGGACAATTCACAAGGATTGTTTTCTAGTTCTGACCCCTCCTCACCCATCTGTCGCAGAGACTGTCCGTTGCTTGGGAGAGTTTCACTTGCAGGAAATCTAAGTGGAAACTGTGTAAGACTGGGAGTGTAGGAGGAGCCAGGGCTCGTGAGATGAAATCACCAGAGATCCTGCATCACCAATGGGCATAAACCACTGAGTGCAGGGCTTGAGGGTACATGGCATTTGAACAGACTGTGGAGTGAAAGAAATAGCACAATGCGAATGAGCAAATGCTGCCCTTGAGCTGTAGTGACATCTTCTCCCACCCTGATTTGAAGGAGGCTGAAACTGATTTTCTTTGGCTTTGACTTCATTTAAACTGTAAAGAATGGGGTCTCTATTCTTGCCTATATTTACAGCTTATTTTCTTTCTCTTTCTCTCTAGGGTCCACTTGGGATAGAAGGATCCTCTGGGCCTAAAGGAGACCCTGTAAGAGTCTGTTTTCCCCCATATATAGAGTTAAATACATTCTTCCCCATCTTGCTGCCAATGCAATAATGTCTCATTGTTACTGAGGTTGCCAGTTGTAATGAGCCCATCACTGTAGTATCTGGTACCTATAGCCCTGAAGGGAGCAAAATGCTCTTGCCCTCCCCTGAGCTACTTGCCTGAATTGAACGAGCTCCAAGCGGTGCCCGTTTGGCACCAGGACATAGGTAGAGGCCTGCACAGACAGTAGAGTCCGCCTGTGAGCTCAGCTTGATCTCTGGTGGGAATGAATTCCAAAGCCCAGGGATTTCTGTTGCTGGTACGTCTGTGCTGTACTCACAGGGTGTGATAGAAGCTTGTGTAGACATAGCTAAATTAAACCTAGCTCCAGTAACTCAGGGCCTGGAGCAGTGAAGCTGCAGCAACATGGGCTGTACAAGCCTGCCTGGAACCTTGGGTAACGACTTCCAGGGCTCTCATGTCCTGCTGGTGTTTCACACCTCTGGGACCTGAGCTGGCCAGACTAACGCCAACTCAGGTGTGTCTACCCTCTGATTGCAGTAGGGAGATTGTGAGGATCCATGGGTCTTGAACCTGGGTCTGTGGGTCCCCAGGCAACCTTTGCATACCAGCAGTATCCGATGGCCTGCTGGTAACTGAGGGGCTGCGTGGCTAAAGGAACCCTAGCCCCACCAGAGGCACAGTCCGTGGGAGTCCTGATTGGACGAGTGCCTGGCCCCACTGGTTGGTCCAGCTATGCTATTTAAGCCAGAAGGAGGCATGGGAAGTAATCTGTGCAAGGGGGCGAATTCCTGGCTGGTGGCTACATCAGACCCTGCCTTCTTGCCTGATTCCTGAGTCCTGCTTACCTACCTTGTCCCTTGTTCCTACTTTCCTGCCCTATTCCTGATCCCTGCCCCTGGTTTCTGACCATTGGCTCAACGTCTCCTCCTGCCCCAACCACTAGGTCTGACCACCCAAGCCATGGTTGTGACAGGTATACTCTGAGAGGACCTTGCCCTTAGCCTTTGTACCTGGGGGCATATGGCTGAAGTGTTTCTGCTGATGGCAGAAACCATGCCAGGTTGCAGCAGACTGAGGTAAGCAAACCCCAGTTGCTTTAGGTTTTTGAAGCTAAACACTGTAACCTTGACTGGGCCTCGCCTGGGGTTGGTAGCGAGTGCAGAGAGTGGGACGTTGATGTGAAATGCTTCCATACTGCCCCACTTAAAGAGAAGAGGTAGGTGGCTTTCTCTGGGCCTTTGCTGTGTTGACTGGCTAGCAGAAGCACCTCTGCAGAACCGGCTGTAGCCCATGAAAGCTTGTGCTCAAATAAATGTGTTAGTCTCTAAGGTGCCACAAGTACTCCTGTTCTTTTTGCGGATACAGACTAACACGGCTGCTACTCTGAAACCCATCCTCTTTTCCTGTCCAAGTGAAAGAAGAAAAGCTCCAGCATGTGGAAAATGCCTTTCTACCATAAGAATGATACTCACAATGCTGCTCTCTGACCCCTAAACTCCCACTAGTCAAAAGGGGGGGAAAGAGGAAATTGTAAAATCTTAGGGAAAAAAGAAGGAAGGGCAAAAAAACCCAAATACTCTACCCCCAAAAAAGGAAGAAGGGCCAGAAACCCCATCAAGTCCGCTAGGAATTTTGCTGTTGCTATTGATTCTAAGTGGAAAGTATTCCGTTCCTACGGTGATGGGCAGACATATAAAACTCCGAGGTAGGCAGCACAGGCATATATCCTATGGAGTGATTCCATTTTTAGCTATTTCCACTCCATTTGTCTGAGCTACAGGCTCCAACTCACAGTCAAAAGAGAGAGAGAGAGACCCTTAGAGCTTGATTTTGGTCCTTTTCACACTTAGATCTGGCACAATCCTGAAACCTTGGGGAGGGGCGGGAGAGGGTTCTGTTGTTTTTCTCTTCCCACATTTATTGTTGACTTGGTCACTGGCCATTAACTGCCATAAAGGTTAGAGCATGACTACAGGTGTAGAAAAGGATGGAGTCTGATGGATAAGCAGAGACATTGGTGGCAATTGGTAAATGCAGAGTTGCGTGATTAAATGCAGGTCTTGGGTGATCCTCTGATCAGTTAGAAGAGGCTGCCTTATGAAGAGTAGAGTAGTCTCCCTTCGCTCCCATTGGAATGAATGTCCCCAATAGTCATTCAGAAAAACAGTGTGTATAACGTTGATAGCCCATTCATGGCCAAAACGGGTCCTTGGCACCTCCTTTCCCATAGCTGCTGTGGCCAAGTGCCCTGTACATGCCGAGTGAAGAGTCTGGCACCTGGGAGTCTTGCCTATGGAGTGGGATGTGTACAGAATTCATTAAACTTTTGATATCAAATGAAGAAATCTCCCTTTTGGGAGACTCACGATCCCCACTCCCCCATTCCTTCTTCCTTGGAAATGGGATTTGATTTTTTTTTTTTACCCACCCTCCACTGTTTTCCCCTCGTGCTGTCGCTCAGTTTGGATTTCTCTGGTTTATCTGTTGCCTTTTAATAAGTCAGCCTTGATGAGTTAATTAAAACATGGCAGCCTTTTCATGAAGCCGTTTTTATAGGGTTATTTCTGATTGCAGGGAGCAGTCGGTCCTGCTGGACTAAGAGGAGAGCGTGGTCAAGAAGGCCCCATGGTAAGTCTGCGTGGATGTATCTTTCCATGCCCCAGCTCATTATGGGTGAGGGTGGGAGTGGAGAGGCTTTGGGCATGGTGAATTCTTTATGCCATATTGCTCCAATTCGTAACCTGAACTGGTACATTGCATTAGAGTGAATAATAAGGGAAATCCACTGGGTCTTTCCCTTAGCTCCATCTTTCTTTCTGGAGCCCTGCTGCTACCAATGGTAGGACACCATAGACCGTTTGAGATCCCGCCCACTGCACAAATGAGACAAAGCCAAGCTATCTTTCTTTGCCCCTGTGCGTTGGTACGTTGTAGAATCGTATGCATTTATCTGCACGTGTGGCTGGGCCTCTGCCCTGTTAGGAAATGGGCCAGATATAAGATTGGAGAGTGAGGGCTCTGCACTTGGCAGCCCCCACATGATACTGCTGCAACATCATAGTCCCCATGCTGGACGTATTGAGAATGCCTGTGCGAGCACTGGGGAAGCTCCCGCCTACTAGAGTAACACTGTTGCCAAAACTAAGCCCATGTGACCTAGGGAGATTTCTGGGGGAACCCGGAGTCTGAGCCCTGGGGCAGTCCACCCTGACTGGGAGGGGCTTTAACTCCTCATGGTCTCTTTTCAGCAGGAAAGACTAAGGACTGGTCATTGTCAATGCCTTCCCTACACTGATGTAGTCTTAAAAGTAGCTCTCCATGGCTTTCCTGCACACCACCCATCTGCCAGAATAGCTCTTGCTGCTGACTTGCTTGCAGCCCCCAACACACTTATAGTCTTTCACCAATTCACACAGCCAGAGCGCTTTATGCTCCCCGCTTAGTAGTAGTACGGTTGGGGTGCAATCGTGGACCATACTGGGGCTGTGTCTCAATGTGGGGGGTTCCCATAAGGCTTTTGCTTCTGATATTGACATCCTAAAGAGCCAATTGGATTGTAATTTTTCCTCATGGAGGCATGTAAAACCTGGAAGGGTAATAAGCAAGGAACAGGCTTCTTCTAAGCTGTGGCTCAGTGGCTGCAGAAAATCTGGGCAGCAGAGAGGTAGTTCTGGCAGGAACCAGATTAGAAAGATGGTCTAGTGGATTGGGTGCTGGAGTGGAACTCAGGAGACTCTGGGTTCAATTCCCAGCTCCTCCACAGACTCCCATGGGTGAGTCACTAATATACCCTGTGTCTCAGTTCCCTATCTGTCATATGGGAATAATGCTTCCCTTCAGGGCATGGTGAGGCTCAAATCCATGAATGAGGGTGAAGCTCTGGTGATGGTAGTAAGTGGCCGTATAAGTACCTAGAGAGAAGGCATTAGTATGCCCTTTTGGTGTGGCTGGGGTGTCCAGAAGCCACCCCAAATGGCCAGTTACCTAAACAGATATGCCCAGCCCAGACCATAGCATCTCCAGGGAGCAAGCTCAGCAGAGCACATGTACCTGGAACCAGCTTACATGGGTGTTTAACACTGATTTTATTTTATTTTTTTTAAACCCTCTTTAGGGTTGCTGATAATTTCCCTTAGCCAGAGAGAACAGTGAGGTGGTGTTTAGAGAGCCATTTCCCTCCTGTTTCTCCTCTCTGTTCTCACTGGATCAAAGCTTGCACTTGACAGGCATCTGCACCGAAGAACAATGCAAATGCTTAGCCCAGGTAAAAGGATGGCTGCCTGTACTAACAGTAGTTTCCCCATGTTTCTAGCTCGCTCGCTCTCCTTCCTGGGGAGTAACAGTGTAGCTCACCTGTTAAATGAAACTGGGCTTAACTCAACTCTCCTGGTCCAGTCCAGGTGCTCCCTGTTTGGGGGAGAGGCTGTAAGAGGGCTTGTGACAGAGACCCAATCTGAGCAGACTGGTTCAGTCAGGTAGGGCAGGAGATGGGAGCTGGCAGAGAGAGAAGGTGGTTCCCGGGAGAAGGTTGGAGGCAGGGGAGCAGCAAGAGGAGTTTGCTGCTGGTGTCCCTGAGCCAGGGCTGAATGCAGGAGGAGCAGCAGCAGCAGAGGGAGACGCCTGCTGGCTCTGTGCGTGAGAGCCAGAGCCAAGGGCTGGAGAGGGTGGAAGGAAGGGGTGCTCTGGAAGGGTTTACCTGCTGGTGTCTCCTTGCTGGTGAGTTGGACCCAGAGGAACTATGAGAGCACCACCGGGAGCGAGGGATACTTCCAGCAGAGAGGCTGTGGGCGTTCCTGCTGGGATGAGCGGGAGGAAGGGCTGGGCTGCCTGTCCTGGCAGAGGGACAGAGGACTGACAAAGTGTCTGGTATCAGGGTACGGTGAGAACAATGCTGGGTTTTAAAGACTGTATGCACTGTGCGGGGGAGGGGTGATATGAACTGTGGCTTGGGACTTTTGGTTATGGACATTTGCACCAAGTTTTATTAATAAACTATGATGGCCTAGAAGATAATCTTCCATGGAGTTACTGGGGACTCAAAAGGGAAACTGAGGTGAAGGGTCACTTGCAGGGCTGTCCTGAGCCATGAGGTGCCTCTCCCTTCCACCTTGCCATGGGATCATCAGCAATGACTTTCTGCAAATGAGGCTGGTGTTTCCCATTGGTCATGAAGTTCAGATACTTCATTTTCTGGCACATACCTTTCACCCAGGGGGGTTTTGAAGGCCTGTGTGGATTTTTGTGTCCTTTTTAAACGTTGCATTGAATGTCTCTTTCTTTCTTTTTCAGGGGTTGATTGGAATGCCAGGTTCAAAAGGACTTCCAGGAGACCAGGCAAGTCACTTGGCCTTAGGGTAACCAGATAGCAAGTGTGAAAAGTCGGAATGGGAGGGGCGAGGGGTAATAGGCGCCTATATAAGAAAAAGCCCTGTATATCAGGACTGTCCCTATAAAATTGGGACATCTGGTCGCCTTACTTGGCCTGCATAATGCAATTCGCCTCAGTGGCTCTGGTCCCGATATGGCTTCCCTACGTTACTATGGGGGTTTGATATACTGTGGACTTGCGGAAAGCTTGATCCCCAGCATCAGAGTTCATACTGAAAGCTACAGGTGATCATTTGGGAAGAAAAATAGGAGGCCACTTTTGTACTCCCTTGAAATGCTCTGAGTTCGGGGAGCTTTCTGAAGGGACAGAAGGGCCTGTGCTTTCTAAGACCTTGTCTTCACTAGAAAAAAAAGGTGTGTTCTTACCACATGGTAACTAACATGAGGTAAAATCCTAGTGAATCATAGAACCATAGGATTACAAGGGACCGCAGGGGTCATATCCTCTAGCCCCCTGCTGAAATGCAGAATTTGTTGTGTCTAAACCATCCAGACACAAAGCATTTATAATGGTCACACAAGATCGTTAACCTGTGGTAAGAACGCACCTTTTTTCCTTGTGTAGACACATCCCAATTATCGGGGGAGTTGGATTGTTAAAGATCCCTGAAACGTTATCCCCTATCAGGAAGAACAGTGATACTTTTTATTCCCCTTGAATCTGAACGTCTCCGAACTCTCCATAAATGTTCAGACATTTGGCCTCCCTTCCCCACGCTCCTCCTCCCCCATTTAAGATATCACCCCCATTTTACAGATGGGGAAACTTCGGTACAGTTCAGCTCAGGTCACACGCAGTGAAACTGTAACAGAGCTGGGAGTAAAATCCAGCTCTCCTGCTTCCTCTTCCTGCACTTAATGCTATGTGGACAGATGGCCTTGTGCTTAGTTAGGAAGGGTGTTGGAGGTTGGAGCAAGTGAGTCTCTGGATAGAGTTTAACCAGGACATGAGTCACCAGGGTGCAAGACAGCATGTTTGCTACTCTTGGACGCAGGAGCACCGCCAGCTTTTTTTGCCGCCCTAGACGGCGGAAGGTCCCACCCCCGAAATGCCGCCCCCAACAGAGGCAGCGGAAGGTCCTGCCCCCGAAATACCGCTGACGACCGGGGCGGCCGAAGATCCGGCCGCTGCAGTCGCCGCCCCCAAAATGTTAGCGCCCTAGGCGACTGCTTAGGTTGCCTAATGAGTTGCGCCGGCCCTGCTTGGACGTGGCCTTGGGATCTTTCGGCATACACCAATCGGGTAGGCTGTACAGCACTGAAGGTCAATGCACTGACCTGTTACCTTTTGGAGTTCTGATTTCTGGTCCTTCCCTACAGAAGGTCACAGCTCAAAACAGATTGAGTGGCCTCCTCCTAGCTCCTGCAGTACATCACAAAAGGTCTGGCAGCAATCAAGGTAGCTGGCACACACTGCTTGAAACAACAGTAGCAGGACTTGCTGCGCGTCAGCGTTGAGCTTTGTGTGTGGAAGGTTTCCGACTATCTGCCCATGTCATGCCTCTCCCAAGCCAGAGATAATGGGCTGTCATGTTTCATAAGCACCCAAATTCCAAATTAAGAAGTGTGTGTTTGAGTTGGGGGGTAAGGGCAGGAATCCCAATATAAAGCAGAAGGGAAGTTACTTTATTTGTTAATAGCAATGCAGGTGGTCCTTCCTTCTGTCCCACGCAACTAATACTTGCATCAACTCCAAACTACAGGAGGTCTACTGTTGACCTCCTTGCCATACACTCCTCCTCCACCATTTTACAGGGGTGCTAAAGCTACCTGCAGGGGTCTAAAGCTACCGGAGTATCTGGCACGTAGGGTCACATTGCAGCTTTCTGATCTGGGTAGAAAGGAGACTTCCCTTTCTACCTGTGGAAAGATCCATCAAGAATGAACTTTTGATCAAAACCAGTGAAAGCTTCCTCTCCGATGCTGAAAGCAGATCGCTGTGCTCCTCAGCCATGGGAGCATCACAGTTCGGTCTCCTGAGAAGCTGCACTCTTAACGTGTGCTGTTATTACAGGGTGGTGAAGGCACAGATGGAGTGAAAGGGGACATGGGAACCAAAGGAGACAAGGTACAGTAGACCCAGTGGCTGGCATTCAGAGGGTAATTTCTATAGCTTCCCCATTCCTCCCTGCTGCTTAAATGTGGTCGTGTCGTCTCAGAGCATGTTTGAGCTGGTTGTATTGTACTAATACACCTCTACCCCGATATAACGTGACCTGATATAACACGAATTCGGATATAACGTGGTAAAGCAGCGCTCCGGGGGGGGCGGGGCTGCGTGCTCTGGCGGATCAAAGCAAGTTATATAACGCGGTTTCAACTATAACGCGATAAGATATTTTGGCTCTCGAGGACAGCGTTATATTGGGGTAGAGGTGTAATTAGATTGAGTTCTCTGCTGGCACTTGAAGAATAAACAATTAGAATCACTAGGCACCTTTATTCTAGCACCCTTCTCGATAGGGCGGGTCTCTGCTCCTTGTACACAGCAGCCTCACTAGGGAGAGGTTTGTATAAAGAAGATCCTACCATATGGGGGGGAGGGATAGCTTCAGTGGTTTGAGCATTGGCTTGCTAAACCCAGGGTTGTGAGTTCAATCCTTGAGGGGGCCATTTAGGAAACTGGGGTAAAAATCTGTCTGGGGATTGGTCCTGCTTTAAGCAGGGGGTTGGACTAGATGACTTCCTGAGGTCCCTTCCAACCCTATGATTCTATGCCAGGAAAGTTACTCTAGCAGTCACCTGCCAAAATTCTGGACCCCTTTTCTTAACATTCGTATAGGTAGCATTGCCAATGCCAAGTGATCGAAACTCATGAGTCAGGCCCCCCAAAATCATGATCAGCTAAAAATCTTGATTTTTTGTTTGTTTGTTTAAAGTTGGGTTCTTTTTATTTGACTTCTGGTTCATGAGCCTTTAGGAATCAGTGTTTTAAGCTTTCTCCATGGGTATGAGTGCTAGATGCTTACTTCCCGCCCCCCTCCCCCCCCGGTTTTCTTATTAAATGGAAGCTGTGATTCTCATGTAATCACATGACTCCAGAAGCTGGGGATTTAAGCCCCAATATTGTGAGGCTTATTATAAAATCATGAGCGTTGGCAACGCTGCATAGAGAGCTAAGTTAGCCATATCCCCATCTGGGAGCCCAGGCCCACAGCAATGGGGTTAGTGTGGTTCCCTTTGCAATAGAGGGTGGGCCAGATGTGGGAGGGCCACACAGGATGTACGCCCCAGTACAGAGCTAAGCTTTTCTAGGAGTCCCCTACAATGGAGTGGGTGGGGCATAAGAAGGACAGAGAGGGGCCAGAATATCTGCCGTTGCCCAGATACTCCTGTCCTTCATCCCCCTCCAACACATAGTGTCCTCAGCACTGCAGCTTGGGTCTGGGAGGATTTCTCCCACCATGGCTCTCCAGTGCCTCTGCCCGGCCTAGCTAGTCCCCTCTGGTACTGGATTCAGTTCTCATCGGCGATGCCGTGTTTCATAAGAGGCTTGATAGCAGGTGAAGTTTCCCTGGCAAAGACGTGGCTGCAGGGAAAGGCAAGCTCTGAGCTGAGTGTCATGAGAGAACCATTAATAGTGCCTCTTGTTCTGCCAGTGGAATTGGATCTCCCTGGTCACTGTCTCCTGAGCTCCTTGCTGCAGCGAGGAGGGGCTCTTGCTCCCAGCTGGATGCAGAACAGGCACAGGGTTCTCCAGCCCTTTGTACATCTCCTGTTAGCATGAAGCGATTTGCATTTAGTGACATGGAAACACATCACGTGTCAGAATAAAGATTATGGAAGCTAAAGTACCAATGGCAAAAACCGCCCCTGAGCTGGGCCCAGAGAGAACCAGTCGCTCCCTCAAACAAGAGGCCAAACACACAGAGGACAAGACGAGGGGGAAATTGCCCAAATGGCCAAAGATGAACCTGACTCAAATAGAAAAGATTCTGCCCTGAGTGAGCCTGGAAGACCAGGCTGAGAGGGGCTCTGGCAGAGCACAGGCAGGGGAATTCCACAGATCCATCTATGTAGGTATTTACATGGGCCCATCACCACAGTGTCAACCGCTCACAGTCACTAATGGAAGGGGGTTTACTTCTTGTGGGATCTGGCAGCCTCATCCCCGTTGTACAGGTGGGGAACTGAGGCACAGGGTCAACTGACTTGCCCATGGTCACACAGGAAACTCGGTGGCTGAGCTGGGATTTGAAGCCAGGTCCCTTGAATCCCAGTCCAGCACCGTATCCATTAGAAGGCCCTTCCTGCCCCAGAATGGATCTGTGACCTGAAAATGTCCTGCCCTGGACCCCATTCAGATGGGGCTGTTGGCGGGAAGGAATGGATCACCTGGCTGACCTCAGCTGGCTTGGCAGGACAGAGGTGGGGAGCGGTCACTCAGATATCTGGGGCCTGGTATATTCTCCCTTAGGCCCTTGAAAACAGAGGATTCCCCCACTCCTAATTTCATGTTTGATGCTTTGCCTTCAAAGCAGAGGCCTTGCTGTAAAAGCAATGGCCTATGTATTGGCTCTAGTGTCCTGTATGTAGAGAGCAGGTTTCATGCGATTCTGTGGGGTCTATCCTGAAAGAGAGCTAACTGGGGAACCTGGAGCACTGCACCCCAGAGCAAAGGTGCTGGAACTAGGGGTGCTGGTGCACCCCCTGGATTGAAGTGGTTTCCATTATATAGAGGGTTTACAGTTTGGTTCAATGGCTCTCAGCACCCCACTATTCAAATTGTTCCAGTGCCCCAGAATAGCACTCATACAGATCAAACAGAGAATACTAAGAACATAAGAACGGCCACACTGGGTCAGACCAAAGTCCATCTAGCTCAGTATCCTGTCTTCCGACAGTGGCCAATGCCAGGTGCCCCAGAGGGAATGAACAGAACAGGTAATCATCAAGTGATCCATCCTCTGTCGCTCATTCTCAGCTTCTGCCAAACAGAGGCTAGGGACACCATCCCTGCCCATCCTGGCTAATAGCCATTGATGGACCTATCCTCCATGAACTTATCTAGTTCTTTTTTGAACCCTGTTATAGTCTTGGCCTTCACAACATCCTCTGGCAAGGAGTTCCACAGACTGACTGACTGCGTTGTGTGAAAAAATACTT